GGAGAATTGGCGGGAGTTTTGCCATACGTAACTAACGTGGTAAGCTAGGCACGTTTTTACATTTAAACTCAATCCCAACAAACGTTGTCATTAAAATAAATATATAACAAATTTGTTACATGCAATACATATCTGACACTATAAGTTACGCATATTTTTAAATACAAATTTAATCTAAACAGCATTCATATTAAAAATAAATACATAACAATTATTTCGTTACAATTGTGTCATAGCCTAATATTTATTAAATTTTTACATATTTTGTAAATTTGATAGTTAATGGGTCCCTGCTCTTTACATGTTGAAATGTTTATAGATGAGTGGTGTTATGTTGTACTGTATTATAATATCTTTCAATTTTATGCATCCAGCAGCTGTGATTCTTTTAAACTTACAATATAATTTTATAATAGTGCTGTATTATTAAAAAACTGATAGTTACTAGATGTAATGACTGGCAATACACCGATCTTCAAAATGGCAGTATTTTATACAGTACTTGTGGTGGTGTTCTTCAGAAGGCAGGAGATGGAAATAAATTATTTATTTTATGAAATTTTGATTTGTTAAACAATGAACATTTAAATTCTTTTTAAGCTTCTTTTAAAGTAGATGATAATTTTATATTTATTTCATTATGATATTCTAGTACTTATAATTGTATTGCTTGAGTCAAAGGTAAATAAAATTTGGCACAGCAGTATGTCTGTGGACTTACAATGCTAGAAACCGGGTTTCAATACCTGTGGTTGGCAGAGCACAGATAGCCTGTTGTGTAGCTTTGTGTTTAACTTCAGACAAACAAAATGTCCTATCAGACAAAATTTATCTTGTCATAAAACTCCACCAAAGTAGTTCAAGACCTGGGGTGAGTTTGTTATATCAGTGTGGTGTTGACAAGCCAGTATACATGGTAAAATAATCAACGTAAAGTCAAATTCATTATATGCAACTAAGCTTAAAAAAATATTTGACCAGTCAATTGCCCTTTTTTTTTTCTTGGTGAAATGGCAAGAATATCTGAAGCAAGATTTATATCCTTCCTAACTACTACAGATATACAACTCTGTGTGCATGGAGAAATGTTTTTACTTGCTACTGAAATAAATTCTTTGAAAAATAGAGTTCTAAAGTACAGGTATTATATGTTCGAGAGATTTATTTTAGCACATATTTTAAATATGTATTTTATCATGTTTGAAATTTTTTTCTGTATTTCAAGTAAACAGTATTTTGTGCTTTAAAATATATTATAATGAATAGTCAATAGGGTTCAAGGAAAGCTTTTTACATTCCTCCAATAGAAATTGTACAACCATTTACTCCAATATGATTTGTTACTTGGATGTGAACAAAATATGTTACTAACCTATGTAGAAGTAACTGTAATATACAAAGTAAGAGTGAATTGGATTTTAAGGAAGGCAGAACTGAACATATTTATTGATCAACAAGGATAAAAGATGTGAAATCTCATAAATTTATGCTGAAATTTTTGATTTACACAAATCTTGTTAAGGTTACAACTGCACGAGAATGGGATTTCTTTTTATTTGGTTTGTTGGAATAGACTTTTAAAAATAGTTTTAGATAAAAATAGTGCTTGAAGGTAAACTTAATGGATCACAAATAAAAATACTTTGAGTTTAAAGCTTGAAAAAGTAAATAAAAATATATGGAGTTTAAAACTTTTCAAACTTAATTCGTTTGAAAGGAATATCACATTTCAAATTAACTTCAAAACAAGTTCTATCACCTGGTTTAACTTTTGTTTTTGAATTGGAAAAACTGAAGACTTACTTGTCATAGATAAAGAATTAAAAAAAAAGTAAAGCAACCAATAGAAACAGCATAAAAAGTGAATGTTTTAAGTATTTTGACAATGTTTTTTCTGAAGATAAGTTATAGATCAATAATGGGAAAAAGTGTCAAACTATTTTAAAGGAGTTAAGAGATAATTGGATCAAAAATGTGCAAGACAGATCAAGATATTAGGTTATAGTCATTAATACTATGCAATATGAAGAAAGTATTTCTCAATGATAAAACCTATAAAGAAAGATTAAAAAGATTTGAAATTATTTTAGATAAAAGCTGTTAAAATGCTAGATTTTCAACTAATAGTATAGAAAAGATACTGTATTTCTAGCAGTTGTTGTGTGTGTGTAGAATGTATGAATTACTAATAATGTTCCATACAGTCCAAGTTCATCCACACATCTCGTGAGTAAAGAAACTATTTCAAGTATTCTTGAGAATGTGTTTGTTTATTGTTAAGCGCAAAGCTATAAAATAGGATTGGCTATCTGTGCTTTGTACACTACAGGTATCAAAACCCAATTTTTAGCACCTATTGGGTATTCAAGAATTTAAATATATATGGTTAAGAACTGTTGCTTTTGTAAAGTTTTAAAAAGGTATTAAAGTGAGAAATAATTTCCTGCTTGTATCCTTAGGTGTTGTTTTACCATTCATAAAGGTACCTATTGATAGAGCCTTGTAAAGTAAATTTCAGTTTATAGGGAAGAATTAATTTACCTAGTCAAAATTTGTTGTTAAAAATTAATGATAAACTTTATCAACAAGTTAATGGTTTAACGATATGGATTCTTTTATCTCCTTTTTTTCTTAAGAATATTTTTAAAACAGTTAAATCAAGCTATTTTCAAACATGCTGGATAAAAAAGGTTTGTTGATACTTTCAAGGTATAGAGAAATGGCAAACATTTGTAATGGATTTTTTTTTGGAGTATGTTAAGAATAATAATGAAGGGCTTAAGTTTAACATGGAAACTCGTGAATATAGTTTACCTTCAAATGTATTAAAAAAAATAATAACATTTAATAGTACACAAATTTTAAATGACTGTCCCTAGTATGAAAATACAATAAAAAAATTGTTTTACTTAATAATTTTACTGTATAAAGATAAAATACTGCGAGACTGGGAACAGTCTTATACTCTACATATTTCAAGGTCTTACTGACTCATCGTTAGGAATGTAGTATTTTGCAGTAGTTAAGACCTATACACAGTTTCAAAAATCACGCGATCAATTTTACATAAAGTTCAGCGTAAAGAAATTCACACCATCTATTAATAACCTTTCCATCTGTTTTCATCCATATTTAATATTTTAAAATTATTTTTGTTACATTTGATTGCCTCGATAGATTTGCAGATATTATTACCATTAATATTTGCGGATTATGCTAAAATAAGTTTTTCCCATTGAATCATTTGTATAAATATTGTTACGTATCTGCTCGTTTGTTAATTTCCGGTATAAATTATTTCCGAGGAACTTCAGCGATACAAGCCCTTTCTTAATTAAAACTAGTTTATTCTTTCTCAATACAACTTTGTATTACACAGAATTTCCACAGTCACTTTAAACTTAACAACCTTTATAACACATGCTATAAATCACAGTGATTCACACACTTTACTTACAGTACCTACTGTTCGCTTGACTCAATTATCTTTATCTTCAATCTATCTGCATATCTCTTCAAATGCGCTGGTTTTCTCACCAGGCTTATATACTAAAAAAGAGGGTGTCTTGAACAAACTAGGAAATTCACGATCATTCAAGAAACTCTTCGCACACGCCACCAGTGCCAATGCGCCAGCAGCATCACGTGACTTCTGCTGTCGTAACAATATTCATGGTGGCTCAAGAAATGTAACATTCTGGAAAATTCTTCTCCACCTTTATAATATTTAAATATTAGTCTTTATGTTCCTTCCTTCCTTTAGCATATAAATAGGCTGAGCTTTCAGTGTAATGACAATCCTAATAATGGCAACAGCTGTTGCTGAAACTAACTGATTCGTAATTTTATCAATATTTCATTATGGTCAAAAATATCACCTGTTTGTGTTTCTAAAAAAATGTTAAAATATTATTGAATGTAACATTAATGTATAAGTGAAAACTGATATAGAATGATGACTGATAATGTTGATTCAGCTTTCATTACTTCAACTCCACTGTACCAATCTGTAACACATTAATATTAATCTTATTCACAGATAATTTAGATATTGTTTTAAATATTCACCAAATCTACAATGCCAGAACATTATTTCAACAGTACAACCACCATTATACTTTAACACTGTTAAAAACTTTATTATAAATAAATTTGATTTAAATGTGTTTTACAGTTGAATTATACTTGTGACAAATGTGATTTTAGATTTGATGCTTAGGCAGACTAGCTGATGCTTGATTTTCAGGAGGGTCGGGAACCTTTACAGCCAATAACACTTGATTTCTAGGAGACAGCTCAGGATCAAATAATGGTACCAAAAGGCTTGGTATACCTGTTTCATTAACAAAAGAACAATAAATACTGGAAAGTTAATTATCTTGTTATATATTAAAAACATAAAATTACACTGTATTTGAGATATGATTCTAACCAAACATTTTACCAACCTGTTAGAAATTAGATAATTAAACATTTTTTTTATCTCAGCAATCCCATTAAAACATAGAATTGTTTACCTATAAATACATCTCATTGTTTGGTCACAGATGTAAACTTGAAAATATCTATACTATTATTCTGCTTGTTGGTATGTATGACCGTTACGCTTTCTGATCGAGAACCTGCTGCATAAACATTCATAATTAGAATGTTTCCCCAAGAAAAACTGCCCATGCGCATTATTCACTCAATGACAAACAGTCTGCCTGCGGCAGAGAGCTGCAAAGCGCAGTGATCAAGTCGCTACAATTGGTGTATGAAACAAGAAATAACAACAAAAGGGGAATGTAAATATACTTTTCTAACCATTTTGTACAACAGAATATTAAAAACTTATCAAAGTTTTTAAAAAAGGTTTTATGTTAGGTCGTAGAATAACATTATAAGTTTATTTATCAATAGTATTAAGTACAGTAAAGTTTAGTCCTAACTAAACTAATGTAAAAACAAAAAATTTACACAGGTTACAGTGTTAATTTATCTCTTTATCGAACTTAGGCCTAACATAAGTTAAAGTTTTATAAAGTACGGCCTATATACAAGTGGATTTACACATTTCGTTGTCTATGATTACAATTCGTTTGTATTGTGCTAGAAATGTTATATTTAAAGAAGTACTATTACAATAAAGATAATTTGGCAGGAACTGTTTTGCGGATCTCTGCTAGTTTCTATTATAATTTGTGACATATATATTACAAAGAGTAGGAATGTTTGTAAAACAAAATCCAACATCACCTTTCTCATAGAGATACAACATTCGATCAATCAGAACTAAACTTTCGATCACAGGAGCCAAAAGCAAACGCAAGGAGTAAAACACAACTACATGTTCCCATTGCTCCAAACATGATGCGACCCAAGACGAGTTGACATCTTTATCAGGAATGTACAAGTTAATTCTGTTAAGAGCTTTCTGTACATATCTGCAAAAAACAAGAAAAAAGAAGTGTGCTTAAAAATTCTGCTGTTACTGTTAAGTATTGGAACTTTACAAAGTGAAAAAGTTCACCTTTAATCTTATGATCGTTTTCTGAAAACAACAAAAAGCTTATTTTAACATGAATGATTACTCTTGTACTTGCTGAGGAAGATTCCAGACTACAAGAATTATTTACGTTTCTGAAAAGAAATAAAGTATCACAAGCATACTTTCAGACATCTTCACCAAGGACTTAAGTATACAGCTTATGAGATATTATAAAACTTCTTTTAAATCAAAATATTTTAGCATTTGGTACTTTCAACCTAAGCAGCATCTTATGTGACATAACAGCTGAATGGTTAAGATCAGACACACCAAGACTAAGGTATAGCTATCTCTAATTTAGAATACTGGTTAGAAAGATGGAAGCTAGTCAGAAGCAACAACTGGCTACACAACTATTCCTAGTCAAATATAGTGGGATTGACTGTTACCTCTACGGTGGACCAACAACAAATGAGCCGTTCAGTGGCAAAAATAAAGATTGAATATTAGATCTTCCTATTCTTTATCTGACATGCTGACCAATATGCATACCCAACCCAAGTCGAAAGTTAAGTTATATCTAATGCATTATTTTCACATTATATTGTAAGGAAAAAGTTGGAACACAACTTAATAACAGTTAAGCTATGAGTTGTATAGGCAGCTTCACTGTATTCAGTAACAGTAACTTAAAAATTATCCATAAATTTCTTCATTTTTCAAGTCTTTGAGCAAAATACGAGTTTCTTATTTTAAGATGATTTTACTTACAAACTGGCTAATAAGAAGTTGAAGAGTGTACTGAAATAATTTTCCTTACATACAAGTTATTTTCTCTATGTAAAGAATTATACTGTTTTAATAAATATTTTCTAGTAAAAACCATAACATTAAGAACAGTTATCTTATATAAAAGAACCATTTAATAATCTGGAATCTAAATAATCAGAATGTTCATTTTATTTTATAAAAAAATTAGGTTTATCAATAATCATGGCAGAATAATAAATTCAAACAGATAAGTATCCATTTAAAGTTAGTTTCAGGGTTTCAAATTCTTATATCCTAGCTTGTCAAGATATAGGTTATTTCCATTTTAACAAGTGAAATCAGAAAATGAGGTTTTTCATGTTTAATAAATTTTATGTAATTGAATTATATGAAGAGCAGGGAAAAAATTATTGTTGTGCAAATGACTAAAAGCTGTTAAATTCATGTAATTACAGACATACAGTAATGGAAATATACAAGCATTGGCAACTAGATGGTGAACTGATAAATGGTACAAAATATTATCACAGAAGATACAAACAAAAGCAAAAACAGGATGTACAATGCATTAGTATTTTGTACAAGAGCACTTTGCTTTACACAAATCATTAAACCTTGTGTTTACGTGGCCATACAAGTTTTCTAAGCATGATTGTGTAATATTGTTCCAAATGCCCTGTATTACTCCATAAAGTTCAGCTAAATTGTTTGATCACCTTTTGACCTTCATAGGTTTTAAGTCCATACAGCTTCAAGAGTATTTATACCAGGACATGGTTGTGAGTTTCCCAACATATTTCACTACATTGCTGTATGCTGCCCAATGACTTTTGTGGAAAGATGGATCAGAATGTGCCTGTCCTTGTCAGCAGTCAAAGGGCCAACAATTTTGTGTAAATCACCAACATGATTGGCTAAGATACATCTCCAAACTTATACTGATTCCTCTACCATGCTTCATTGTAGATTGTATACATTGACTATAACACTGTTTTTATTTTAACTTTCAAACAATCTGTCAGTGATTGTTTCCAAATAATTCAAACTTGGATTCATCTGTAAAGAACACATGCCTCCAGTTTTGTTCAATCCACTGTTTGTGGTTTGATACCCATTTCAACATTTTGGTTTAGTTATCTCTTTTTCTGTGGCAGTTTTCAAGCAGCTACACATCCATTGAGACTTGTTCTAATGTATATCTTACAGCAAGGTCAGTGGCAATATCTGTACTCAACCATTGTCTATCCATAAAGAACATACTCTGAGACACTTAGCATCACTTTTGGAGAGTTTTGGCTTTCTACCTTAATCACTTCTATTATCAACAGCATTAGTTTCGTGTGTTCTTTTCAGAATCTTACATACAACTGCTAGGAAAATATGAAGTCTGGCCACAATGTTTCATATGAAATACCCTTGACAACCCAAATATTTGATTTCTACATGCTTGTCGTATGTTATTTTAATCTTGGGAGCCATATTTTATACATATTTAAGTCCTATCTAGCAATATTCTTACTTGTGCAAACCTTTGAATTTGAATACATGTACATGGATAATACTACTCCATATGATATACTACTCATCATTTTATCCATCTATTGATGTTACAGATTATAAAATTAATTATAATATTGCTTAGAAATCTATTACACTTTGGTAACATTAAATAAATTCAAATCAATATTAAAAATACTTTAAACTAATGAAGAGAACAATTATTGGAGTCAAGAACAAAGACCCACATGATTCTGAATACATAAAATTGCTAATTTTAAACAATATTTGTTAATCACAATTTTTTTCAACAGAAAAACTCAAACTGTTTGAAAAAATGATTATAGTAACAATTTATGTAGAAAGTATTAAAACAATGTTAAACAAACTAAGGAGATTCAAAAACAAAAACAGGCAAGACGAAACTAATTCAAAACGCAAACAAAAGTGAGAATTGAAAACAGATAAAGACATATGTAATCTTTTTTCTAAGCAGCATTCTTCACAGACTTTAGAATTAAATGGGTGATATGGTATATGTTCCAATGAAAGGATTATGCTACACAGAGCATGAGATCATCATAGAAATGCTCAACAACATGTGTATGCAAAAAGGGATTGTGAAGAATAGAACAACAGCTTCATGGATTATGACCACTAACTGCATCCACTGGTAGGTACCTTTCTATTTTTGGAGTTTCATGTTAAATGATCAAGAGGATGAAATCAGCTTGTCGCCAAGATTAAAGAATCAAACATTGTGTCTATTAGAGGAGAAGAAAATAACAGTACTGCTTCAAGGGAAGTCATTACTCTTTCAACTCCTTACTAAACAGAGTAATGCAATCTTTATCAATGTCTATTTACCTTGATTAAAAAAAAAAAGAGGTTTCTAAGCCAGCATGGGTTAGCCCTTTATTTGGTTATAAAATATGTAATTAAATAAAAGATGCTTTTCTGAAGGGGACCAAAAAAAACAAAGTTATTTTTCACACTTTTCTATGGTCATCATAATGTGCATTTCATAAATCCAGATAGGATTAGTTTAGTTTATCTATTTGTATGTTCTGCTTTTTTTTAAAGTATTTTTGAGTCAGACCTTTCATGCACCACTTAGTATTTTTAAGAAATTTTTTCCATTTCACTTGAATTTTCTTTTTTTAATGATACAAGTACAAATTAGTAAGTGAATATTATACTAATTAAGTAACATAATCAATGAATTACACTGATGCTCTTTAAACATTGAATAAATGTTCTAGACTCATTTTCAGCACTTGAAAAGAAAAAACCTTCTATGCAAATATGTTAGCAAATATTTCTTATAAATCGTACTATAGTTTTTGTTTTGAGTAATCTACATAAACAAGCCTCAAATTCTTTAACATCGTTTGTAATACCATGGCATAGCAAACATAGTATAGTAATTGAAATAAGAAATTGACACTCTTACTCTGTAAATGTAATTCTATCTGCATGATTGACACTTCGAAGTCCATAATGACGTTTCTCTGGATGATGTTTGTTTATCAATGCTTCAAGGGTGGCTCTATAGCAATGAATTTTTAAGGAACTAGCATTTTCTAGACAAGAAATATACAAAACATCAATGAAACAATTAAGTCATTTTTATATACTTTTAAATCAGAAATCTTTCATTCATTATTACAAGCTAAAACAACTGAAAAATCAAATGACAAGATAATAAGAATGAATGCAATAACTAGCTATTGTCAAAATAAATATTAGAGCAAAATTTAAAGTAAATATTCTTATAGTGTACAATGTTGCAAGAAAACACTTTACAGAAAATGCTTTAACCATTCTCACTATACTCTCAGAATTATTTTGTATTTACCTTAGTTTTCTAGAAGGAAGCTCATTAAATCCATTTAGCCATTTCATTTCTAGAAAATACATATAGTTTTGAATACTATTATGAATTATTCCAAATTTTGAGGCAAGCTTTATTTAAAGCATTGCACCTTCATGACTTCTTGAAAGGTATAATTTCACATTGATATGAAGCAGGGCCTAATTCACATGCTTGGAAAATATATTTTGTTTTATTCATGAATTCTTAAAAACTTCTGTAAGCTAACCATAGAGCACATACAATAAAATCAACATTATTGAAGACAATCCAGTAAAGCAAACTAACTAGAAATATTTAGTGTTAAAATCTGTATACCAGAAAAATAAAACCTGTTATAATGAAATTAAATTGAATTATTAGTTTGGTATCCTTGCTATTAATGATAAAAAGCTAGAACACACCTGAATTAATAAAAATACTTTACATTTAAAACACTTAATCCCAATAAAAAACATCCTCAATGATTAAAATATCGTTAGACCTATTTCCAAGTTTTCCCCAAACAAACTAACTGCTCAACACTATAAATAGCTTCAAACCTCATAAAATTGTTTTTAATTTTCACTAATGAAATATTATACGAGCTTTCATATCTTTATTATTATTATTACATTTTTATTACAGATATTATTTACCATTATTAGCTGGCCTTACCTCGTGAAATATTATTTGGCTTTTGTTTGTTTTGAATTACGTGCAAAGCTACATGAGGGCTATCTGTGCTAGCTATCCATAATTTAGCAGTGAAAGACTAGAGGGAAGGCAGCTAGTCATCACCACCCTCCGCCAACTCTTAGGCTACTCTTTTACAAACAAATAGTAGGATTGATCATCACAATATAATGCCCCCACGGCTGAAAGGACAAGGATATTTGGTGGGATGTGGATTCAAACCCATGACCCTCAGATTGCGAGTCAAGCACCCTAGCCATTATTGGGCTTATTGTAAAAAATTATTGTTAACACAAGATATTTAACTGATAAAATAATGCATTTTTGTCTTTATAAGTAAGAATGTAAGAACAATACATTTAATTAGATATTCTTATTACTAGTTTGATTCATGTGTGTAGCTTGTTCTAATTGAAAGTTAATATTAAATATTTGTGTATCCTACAGTCTTGTTTATGTTTTAATATGCTGTAAAAAAAAAAAGCACAACATTGTTTATTTTGAGCCTAACAAAGTTATACTGATACCAAATATTTTGAAACTGAAAATAATCAGGATTTCACCTTGTAGGCTTTTTAAAAGCTTGAGTGGTATCTTTTAGTTCTTTAACTTAATGTTTAACAGTTAAATTGTGCAGAATTTTATACCAACTGAAACAAACTTACACAAGAATATATACATAAGCAAATGCATTTACCTTTAAGTTTCTTGCTGTATTTCTCAATGGCATGGCAGGCTACTTCTAGTGCCTCGTAACATAATTTGTGTCCAAGTTGATTTCTGATACATGAGCTTAAAGGATAACCACATGCTAAACCAGCACTATCAAATAAGAAAAGATAAGCATAAACAATTTATTCAAGGTAAATTAGCTTTATTAAAGGATTGTTTTAACTTCCTGGACATTTATCTATTATCCTTTTTTCTTCAGATGATCACAATACAATAAAAAATATTTCTGTACCTTATATACTTCAATCAACTCTAGTTCCATCTGATATTTCTTACAAAATTTAACCGAACTTTTACATTTTTGAAAGATTTACTTGTGTATTTTACATTGTAGTCTTGCTTATGTTTCAATACACTGAAAATAAAAAGCTCTACACTCTGAGCCTCACAGAGATTTAGTGAGCTTATTTCTCACTGCCTACTTCCACAGCAAGCATAACCAGTCTTTGTACAAGTCATCCTGTTTCTATAACAAGGTAAAAAAGGTATAATTTCACTTTAACACTACTTTTATAAATTATACTTGTGTGTTTTAACAATATTTGTCTTTCTGATTTTTTTTCTTCCCTTTTTTCTATTTTGTGCAAAATTAATTAAGCCATAGTTAACAATTATTTCAAGTCTTATTTGTCCCATTGAACACAGTGAAAACTACAAAAATAATACAAAAGAGGCTAGAACTCTACAATTTAAACACTGAAATATGATGCACATTTCACACATTTATTCAAATATATTCATCTTGATAAATCCCATGAATGTTTGCTCAGTAAAAGTATTTAGTTTTAAGATCTCATTATGTATGCCAATAACAGCAAGGCCTTTTACTCAATGGAGCAGAACTTATTAGGCAGGCTGGGCTACAAGGTATAAAACCTTAGTTGATACACTTTATACAGTCTTGTATGATACATCAAATCCTACAATGTATAATGACTAAGCTTGTAACTATTTCTACGATCTTATAAGACTATCACACTAAAGCTATTAGGATAAATTGGCTTTCCATAGAAAGAACCTCAGTAAAACTGCAAGTTCAATAAAACAGTATTTTATTATCTGTATAGTCAGTTTTTTCTACTTTTAGCTTATAATTTATATATATATTTTAAATATCTTTAGACACATGTGACTATGACAACAAAAAAATTCCTTAGGGTGAAGGAGTGGCCAGCCTATAGTTGAAAATAAATGGTTAATAAAAGTTTAAGCTACAAAGAGTTACTATCATGCTGATCATTGTCTATCTGAAAGTTGAGAGAAAAAATAAGTGTTATTTATTTTTGGAAAACAAATTTAAGAATACAAATAAAATTGTTTACGACTACATTTGGTAAGACTCTCTTGATAATAAAATATGTTTTATGAAAAGTTACAACCTTTTTGCATTTGTTTGAAACAAAGTTTGGTAGAATTGTTCCAGAACAGAAGAGTGAACTTGTTCCATTTAAACTATATTACTTGGCTTGACAAAAAACTTACATGTCACAGTATTTACCTGGTAATATCTAACTTCATGTAACAACATCCTACTGATAACAAAGTTTTTGCTTCTGAAGTTTCTGTAAAAAGTCGTAGCATTGTTGAAGCAAGATTTCCACAAGTGTGTAGTCCGATGAGACCAAAATGAGCCTGTGAACATTTAACTAGTAAGTTCAGCTACAGGGATAATCACTGTTGCAAATTTATTGTTTGATACAGAAAACTACAATAATTATTCCTCATTTAATTTTCAAAATTAAAAATATAATTTAATTTTAAACACTTATTACCTTTCTAGTATGTAAAATTTGTAGGAATCATATTGTGACATGTTCTATCGCTTCCATCATTTGGCAGACTCATTTATAGATTACTTGGTGAAAAAAAAATGTGAAAGTAAGTCCTCATAATGATAAAAAAATTAGTTTAATTCTTCCTTAACATTTGCTACAGGCTACTATCACTTGTACAAAAGTGTAGGCCTAAATTCACAAATGAAGTTTTCACTTTCAAAAGAAATTTACTCACCAACAGTAATATGAATAATATACAAAAACACTTACGTGTACAAATTCACAACTAATCAATAGAGTAAATGAATATACATAACAAACTGAAAACTGACACAATGCTCCACTGGTTCTCATATTTATAATGTATCCTTTGTAGATCTTAATCGAATTTACGACATCTCTAACTTACTCACCCTCCAGCTAACATTTAAATTAATATACTGAAAATATAGCTAACAATAATACATAACTTTACTTATAAAATCAACAATTTATATGTATACAATCAAATAAAAGGAAAGAATACATAAATTAAGAACATAATAATTGTTTGAAACTTTTAAATATTTCATAGCTAGGTTTTTAAAAGTATAAAATAAAGTAATTGAATTACTATATTCAAATAAACTGATGATCTCAATTTTTATATCTTCAATTCAACTTTTCTAAATATTATTCAGTAGAATAAAAGATGAAAAATTTTATCCAAAGATTTTTGTACGTCAATTCCATCGAGTATATTTTCAATTCAAATATGTTTCATGGAAAATTAAGTTTATTCTCAATCGGAAAAACACTATTTACATTATACTTTACACTAAGTTACAAAACCATATATATACATATATATGTTATTTGTAGTAATAACTCAAAAACTACTAGTTCCTACCACATCACTGTAGAGGTTATCTTTTACTGATGGCCAAGAATCACTGAGGACCTAAAAAATGTGAAGAGTATTATATTTTAGCTAGGTATTAAAAAGTTCCATTTCATGGTACTACAAAACAGATTGCAGATTAAGCCTCATACATCTGAGCTTAAACAAAACCTACTAGTCAATATAAATTGGAAAAATATCCCCAACTATTTCTACTTTAATCTTCAAGTAGCTAGCACAATAGCTGGACTGAAATGTAAAACACATTACATGACTTTAACAAACTATCTTAATTATCTGATTAAATAAGAATAAGCCCTAGTTCTTAATAACAACTAAATATAGTATTATTCACAATTTATAGTCACATACTTTATAATTTCTGATTTAATTGTGCAAAATTACTCATATAATAATAAAACTGTGAAATTCAGGTATAAGCATACATTTATGACCACAACCATTAAGAATGAAGAAATGTGATTTCTACTTTTAAGCCTCATATGAAGGGTTAATCACTTGTACATTTTCTGCTAATGAAAGGCTACAGCTAAGGGAATTAACTTTGTATGTAAGTATTTTTTTTAAGAAATTCCATTATGCCAATTAGTTATTCTGTGAAAAGTTTGACTTATAATATTACATGGCAAAAGCCAGTTATTGTATGCACAGATTTACTAATGATAGATATAGGTACTAAATCGGTTAGTTGGAAATAGTGTAATATTATATTATAATATGATTGATACCAATGTGAATCAAAACCTTTTATTTAATTGACAAATATGAGATTCCTCCATTAAAAAAAAAATCATCTAACAGCTTGGGAACAATTAACACTTTGTCTGTTGTATGCCACAGACAATGAGGTCTTTTGTTCAGTACAACAGAGCTTACGAGGCTAGCTGGACTACAATATACAAAGCCTTAGTTGAAATGCTACTTATACAGTCATGTATGATACATCAAATCTTACTGTGTATAATGCTCAAGCTAGGGAAGCATGATTTGTTAGTGTTATTATAATGTGATACTAATGAATCATGCTTTTCCAGCTTAGGCATTTATACACGATAAGTACTAAAACAGTGGTTCTATTCATTACCTCTTATCTTGAAAGCTAACACCTAAGAAATTTCTTTAATTCAAATGTATGTTAATAAACATAATATGTTACGTTATTTCTACTTGTAATTCAACTTTTATCACCTGTAACAGATCTTCTTGAGTTGAAGAGGCTGAAACACAGTAACGAAGGTGTTTTGGAGGTTGATGACTGCAAATTGCAAATTTTTTATAATTGTCAATAAGTTCATTGCTAATATCCTCTTCAACTGAATATGCTGGTCTTTGTTCCTTCTTCTTCAAATGACTTAAGGCCTTATAACGGAAACAAAACCTATGGGATTTACTTGCAAAAATAAATTTTATGAACACACACAAATATTTACATGAAAACTTTATACAGAGCTGTGTGTCTGATATCAAATTAATTGTTCTTTTTTATGATTGTTGAAAGAAAATAAAAGGCAAGGAAATAATGCACTGTTTTTATAATACATCATTATAGATCTATTTTTGGTCAATGCTCTTAAAGGAAACTATAATTGAAAAATATTTTCCTCTGAAGCAGATAAATATAATTACAGTGCTAAAGTTTATATTATGGCTTGCTATTTTATAGTCACTCAGTAACATCATGTACCATAAACAACATTTATTATCAGAGTGAGAATATTAAAAGAATAAAATGTTGAAAAAGAAGCTATCTATATATTTCAGAGCAACATTCATCATTTTAATGTATTTATATATTTTATTTGTATACCCTTGTATGTTAATTTGAAAATTTTATATGACAAGCAAACGTACCTGTCCCTCAGTGATGAGAAAAGCTTAAATTAGTCTACCAAAAGTACCTGTCTCCAGTGACAGGAAAAGTTTAAGTTAATCTATCAATTTAAATTATTTCACAGACTTTAAAAAGGTTAATTGTGTTGCACTCTTGGTTTCATTCAGAGTCAAAGCTCTGAGCTACTTATATAGCCCACAGCACAAATAATTGTTGAGCATTTCAGCCATTCTAAGAGTCACTAAACAATAACATACAGAACATCTACATTCTTATTATTTAAGTTACATCACATTTTGAAATGTAAATGATAGTGATTAATTCCTAACAATATAGTGTAGAATATTGTGCTTGCAAAATAAAATTTGGCATCAGCATTATTCATGCCTGTTTTCCTGTCATTTCAAAAGTGAACAATGAGCTTTGTCTGCATGTGCAGCTTTTCAATTGCAGCGTGTAAATGAGAGACAGACACCACGGTTCACAATATATACAAGGTTTTACTTTATGCTTTATATTCATTACTTATTATCAGGCTTATTTTTATGGTGTAGCTCATTTAGACTTCTTTTTTTTTAAATGACCTTTTTTTGTTGTTGTTGAAAAGAACATCCTAAGAAATTTATTTTTGAGATGCCAGATGCTTCCAGGTTCTTTTTTGGCCTGATCTTCGCCTCCAGCTGTTTCCAAGTTCTTTTTTTGGCTTGGTCTTCTCCTCCTATACCACTGGCTGTGCTTACAATATTCCTCAAATTTTCTAGCTGTATTTTGCTGAGATATGAAATACTTTTGAGCTCCAGTTCTTTTGTGGTTACAAAAATAGCACTGCTTATTATTACTAACAGGTATTAAGTATTAATATTATAATTAAATAGCTTGGATTTCTAAATATAACTACAGGACAAAGACAGAGTGTTCATATGTCTATAGATATGTAACTATTAACTAACTTGATCATCTAACTTCTGAGCTCCTGAGACATGCTGTTCTTCTGCTTCTACAGTTGCCACTTGAAGACCATAGCCAAGAGCCAATAAACGAGCAAGATGGCCTTGACCAGAACCCACATCAATAACCCGGTCACAATGAATTTGTTTAAGCACCGAGTCAATAACCTAAAATATTTAAACATCACAACTAAATGTATCAAAGCCCTTTTAAGTGTCAAATTATTAGAAGTTGGAGATTCAAGCTTCCCTGTCTTGAAAATAAAAAGATACAGTCTAGTTTTGTTAAAGATAACACAATAAGATAATTTTTAGGATTAAAGACTGACAATTAATATATTTTTTTATTTTACAATATTGACCATAAATAACTGTTTTAAATGTAGACCCTTAGTTACAAACATACTTAAAAGACAAGCTTTCAAACATTTATTACAACATAATAAAGTAAAAGTGATATAAAATTAAAAAATAAAAAACTAGAAAAGCATCATCTAAGTATAAAACTTTTATTGGTCAACAATTCAAGGAAATACTTTTTGTCAAACCTTGAAAAAGCCCGTTAGCACAACAGGTTAAACCACGACTTAACAATGAGTACTGTCTTGAAATGTTATGCAATAAGTTATTTGCTTAGATGATATTATTCCACTTAGTTTTTCCATAATAAAAAAAAAGCTTTTAACTATATATAGAAGCTGCCAACTGTTATGTCTGAAGTAAAAAATCAAATAATATTCAGACTGTTTCTACAATATTAATAATTTAATTCTTAGTCTACATAAATAAACAACTGATGTGAAACTTCTTCCAATTGTTAGATTATATGTATTGTTCAACAATTTATTTTTCATGTGGTTTCAATTTTATTCATCCTTTTAAGAAACTTAAAAGAGAATTATTTGAACATACAGGTACCTTGCTAAATTAATTTCCACAATTACAAATGATCTTCTAAGTAATATACAGTAAAAATTCTGCATCTTGTAATTTTAAACACTTTGTATAAGAGAAATATGGATAACCTGAGTCAATCTCAAAATTTCATGCTGTTTCTTCGGTTTTACTCGTCTTCTGAAAATATGTTCCAGGTTTACATGTTGGCCACCAGCAGCAGATAATTCATCCACAGTTTTCAACCATTTTATTTTAGAAGCTTCAGTCATACCTGTAGAAACAATACAAAAAAAACTATTTTTTTCATTTCTATATATTGTAAGTCAACATAATTGAATAATCAGTAACTCAACTTTCAAACAGATTTCAAAAGACAACTAAAATTAAGCTCTTTCAAAAAGATGATTCTTCTTCTTCCTGAAGAAAAATAACCAACTATTCAAAAGTATTCAAATTTCTGGGTAATTTTTCTATGTAATTCTTTTAGTGATTCTGTGTGCTAATTCTTTCATAACCAGTCAACTTTGAAGCTTTAGTATCAAGATAGTTATATAGTTACTAAATTCGTGTATAAATATTTACTGGGTCACTTCAAAGATAAGCTCCACCCCATAATTAGCTAAGCAGGCAGGACTGCTATTATAATGCAAAATGCTGGCATAGAAGGAAATGAGAAGAGATTTTTTTTAAACATATATTAACAGGCAGGGCTGATTTAGGGCAGCCGCCCTGGGGCTAGTGGGATATTCCAAAGCTCACTAGAAATGCATACTACTTAATGAGCTAAAATGGCTACTGCTTTTCCATGGAATCATGAAGAAATTTGTCACCTAAATTTCTTTTATGAAAAGTTAGCAAAAGTTAATAAATAGAATGAAATGGGGGCCCGATGATATTACTGGGCCTGGGGCCAAAAGATTTATTAAACTGGAGATTCATACATCTCCATCTAGGTGGAGTCACTACGTAAATCCATCCAATTCAAATTGGTTTACAATAAAGCTTCTTATTGCTGGTGACTACAGCCGAGCATAAATAAGTGCTCATAACTGTTTTTCCTCAAAAACAGAATATCATAAAGCTTCACTTTCAAATACAAAATGAATTGAATCAAAACTATGAAAGTAATCGAATATTATAAAACTAATAACAGAGATATCTTGAAGGCTAGTTGGATATTGCATTATGTTTTATTATTACTAGGAGTGTGTATCTCATTATAGTAGTCAACACGATACGTATCTAGATACAGAAGTTTTACCAATGGTTTACTAATATTATCTATATTACTAACAATGTCTTATTTAAGTACTTCACATATTTTATAGTGCTTTTTCAAATTCTCAGGTTTGATCAACTAACTGGTAGTTAGCAAGAGAAGTAAAATAAAAGTTAATATCTGTCTATCTATTTTTTATTGTTAATTTATTATGTTACTTTGCATTTAATGTTTTTGATGAACGAAATGAAAACAACATGTAGTACTCAATACTCTTCTTCCTTTATTGAGCCATTAATTTTTAGCAAAAATTTTTTGTTAGAAATTCAGATTTTTTACTGTACAAAAGGTCTTATAATGTTTACTGAAAGCTTGCCATATTTTGTGAAGATACATAAATTATATTGTATCAGATGATGTATCAATACAATCATATCAAGGTTTCATGATACCAATACTAGTATTGTATCGCTGTATCACCACATTTTTAATTATTACTCCTTAATTGTTTTTGACGTAAAATAAAGTCAGAATTAACTTGTCTAAAAACTTTTCCCACAAGAGAATGATGTGACAAAAACTTTATTCTTGGTAAAACTTGGTAGAAAATCTACTTCTGAAGACCATGAAACATGAAAAAACATTATATGTAATTGATTTATGAAACTTTTCAATGTCACTAGATTCATAGACCACATTTTCTACAATGCTAGAATCAATCCCCGCATTTTCCTTCCTCAACACTAAGATACACCAGATGAAGACTTAAATAAAAAAGCAATATTAGGTACATATTTTGAATGATATAATTGCTTAAAATAAAATTGATAGATATAACTATTCGACTGAGACCCTATTTGTTATATGAATTATTTGATATTAAACTTAATCTTATTCAACCAATTTAAATTTCTTTTAACAATTACACAGGGTTACATTGCTCTGTGACTAACATTGCATTAACGTGTTTATCATCATGTTATCTAAAACCTAATTATTTATTCCAATAACCCTTTGCTGAGAAAACAATGTTTACAACTGACATACTTCAAACTGTAAATTTTACAAAACATGTGTTACATTAATGTTTTTATGAATAGTTATTTGGATTATGTTTTGCTTTCTCATTTGTGTGCAGCATTTTTATTTTACATATCTAGTTAGATTAACAAGATATATTATTTTCCATGTGATTTACTTTGAAGTGGTTATTTCATTTTTTTTTGTAGTTTACTGAAAGGGTTATTTTATGTTAAACCTTTTATGCAACTGTGATGGGTTTATTTTGATTGTATGTTCATTTAATAAGTTTTATTCTGTATAATACTGAAATTATTATTTGTTTGTTAAAGGGTTTGAATTAGTAATGTCTGCCTATGTTAAAGGTTTTGCTGAAAAACAAAAAGTTCCTTATAACTAACTCTCATTTCATCTAAATTATATTCCTAGATCTGCACTGAATAACAGCAGAAGAAACAAACAATTCATTCTAATGCACTTGTTACAGCAATTATTACTTTATGCAGAGTCCTCCTTCAATGTACTTAAATAAGAAAGTCTTACTCTTGATCCACTCAGAATTATCTGAGTTCATGATGTTTTTTAACATCGTCATGGTGTACAAGTGTAAGGATGATAGGTTAAACCAATCTTCTACCCAGTTAACATAACCCAAAGGACATATATACATGTGAAATGTAATCAAATTATAGATCCCAATTATAACTCTATATGTAGGTGTAGACAGCATTTAAGTTAATATAAATATCATCCCAGCAACATGTTCATTATTGAGAACTTTTAAGCTTTCTCAATTACATATAAAGAGAATGTAAGATAATTCAAAATACAGGGAACATAATAACGAGCATTACCATTTGATGCAACAATGGCTCAAACCTGATAGATTATTGTGACCCTAACAAAAGTATAAACAAAGAATTAAATTAATTAACCACATTAAATTTTTAAAAAATCACAAAAAATGGATTATAACTTTTACAATAGAGGACAAAGCAAAAACCATGGTCCCCACAAATTATTCTTACTGATGAATAATTAGACAAAACATAAATAAAAAATACCTTTTTGATGTGGATAACCAGGTATGATCTTATTCAAAAATAAGTGAACAGCTTCTGGTGAGCTTATGGGCTTTCTTGTAAGTGCTAATGCACATACTGTTGCACGGAAAGCTTGTAAACTCAAAGGCCAAACTTGCTTATAGCTAAAAAAATTTGGAAATTGATACAAGTGCATTAATATAAGAACAGTAATTCCACAGTTTTTATGAAAAGTTAGCAATATTGATTAAGTAATTTTAATTATAAGGATTAGCAAACTACAAGGATTATAAATGGGTTTTACAAAAATTGATAATTTCAGACTTCAAAATGATCTTAGCATGATTTTTATATACCTTTTACATAAAATCATCATGAAATACTTCCTCTATTTAAATATCTATTCCTCTTTACATTCACTATATTTTAAACACAATGTTAAAATACTTTTTGATAAAAATACTTCTAAGCACTTAAAAAACTGAAATAAGCCATACAAAATATTTCCTTCACTTAGCCAATCACCAAGCTCTTGAGGATCAATACTAGATAGAACAGAAGACCAGCATAGTGGCAGCTTGCTCCAGTGATTCTCAGTAAAAAAGTCCTGTTCAAGCATCATTAAAAATATTATAAATTAACAATAAAATAAATTAGTATACAAATGATTAACATTAAAAGCTCCTTACAACTTAAACCTGACTGGCTAAACTCAAGAAAAAAGATCCACTAAATATATTCTTAAAAATTAATTATTCAATGTATTACTAAATGCAAAGAAGCTATTAAAAATCAATAAGACAACACAGTTAACTCAAAGTATACTTTGTACAGTGTTAACAACACCAACTGCAATTCGGACATCATAAATTTAAATAAGTGCTATAGATTATTGACACTGTACCAAAACTAAACATTTTTCTCTTTTTAATCAACATACTATAGTTTAATATATATATGTGGGCAAATTCATATAATATTTTCCCAGAAATTGTTAAAACATTTAGTAATAACATATTCCTTTTACAATGTTAATGGTGATTAACAGTGACTTCCTCTACTTTAAAACAGTGTATTAAATGTGGATTATTTATTTGCAACACTATTCAAATGAATTGGTAAACATTTAATTTTATCAACTTTACATATTTGTGGCAAAAACTCACAGATGTTTATCCATCAAACTTTTAGCTATATATGTACATGTGTGCCGCAAATTACAATAGATTAGGATATTAAGAAATCTACCCTGGCCAGGCTTGAGCTCAAGATCTATGGCTCATACTTGTGCCCTCAGACAAATACTTAAATGACTGGAAGGTTAGGATTTAAAGTCTCAAAGCAGCCAAGTCCAAATCTAGTTCATTATATATCTCCCCTCTACTAAATTCAGGTGACATCCTTGTCTCGACTAATCGTGAACACTTATGGATTCAACCGAGTGACTTAAAACAAACGAAGAAGTCTGGCCACCGTATGCCTAAGTAAAGAACTTTATATTTCAAACTACACTTATGTTTTCCTTTACTATCCATGTTCAATCTATTCTATGCTTTACAGTTCTGAAATGTTGTAGGAATTTTGGCTTTTCTTCTACTTCTAGATATCATTATCAGTCTATTTGAATAGTGAATACCACATCACTTGAATTCAAATCATTTATTAACTAACATAGATCTTGTTAGAGTAGAAGAAATATATTTAAGAGACTGATCTTATTTATATATTTAAATTTAGCTAACCATAACACGTATTAGAAAACTTTCCTTCAGGCCTATGGGCAGTCTGTTTCACAAGAATAGGAAAGAAAACATGGTGATTAGAAAAACTTGTCATTCAAAGAACTAAAATAAAAAAATAGAGAGAGAATTAACATACCAAAACAAAGGCTTCTGTGAGCCAGGAATATTCATTAAGGAACTTGATCAATAACAATGAGTACTGTTTTATCCATTTAATATTTTCGTCATTGCAATGCACCATTTTAAAACTTAAGAAAAAAATCCTGGCTTCGTTTGAATCATTTATGGTATAATAACAATCTATAGGCGTTGGTTTACCATGAAGCGTTCTGTTACGTGCAATTGGAAGCAGGTTATAATTAGTGTGACAGACTAACCACTCTAGATAAGTCCGAATCTAACTTAATACTTACGTACTAGTAAGTTGTCACTAAAATTTTAAAACACTGTTAGCCAAACTAAAGTCTAACTATGTGTCTTTAAGGCATTTTGTAGAATATAACAATAATATTCATATTACTGTAGCTTTTAACAATCGTGCACGTTCACCGCTTAGAATCATGAAAACCATGCTAACTACACAGAAAGTAATATTCTGAAATACTTGAACTAAATGGTGGCGTTATAATATATATATATATTGCTGCGAATGTCCATATAAACTTCTACGTAATACAGTTCAATTCATCAAATGTTTTACTTAGTTTGATTGATTAAATATTTCAAGTGAATATTCATTTAACGTCATATGAAAACCATTTAGCCCTCTAGATTTGTTATCAGGAAGTAACACCAACCCAAACAAGGTATTTGGTTTTATGAACAACCAAAATGGCAGCCTCCTTAGTACAACATGTGGCAAAGATTAGGTGAATTTCATTTTAATTCTCTCGTGAAATTATAAGTATTTATTGATAAACGATTAATCTCATTACCTATAGCATGAGCCAAAATATACTGGAATAATATAAGTAAAATGTAATAACTAAATAAGATAAATTAGAGACCTACTTCAAATTTCCAACAACTTTCTCAATGGGTAAGACTAAACTTAAGTCAATAAGTGTGACATTCTACTAGTACTAAGTTCGATTGTTTAAAAACAAACAGTGTTGGGCACGTTACTTGAAAAAAGTAATGACGTTACTCTGGCTGTTTCCTACTAAAAATAAGTGTCGTTGCCACGTTATCTATTTTAAATAAGTAATTAGTATTTAAAAAATTAACAAATGTAATGAGTAACGACTAGTTATTTTTCAAATACTGAAATAGATACCCGTATTCTGTATTACTATTAGTGTATATAAAACATGTAACTTATACATGGCAAATTATTATATAACTTAAACATTTACAAATAAGAATAGACGCTACATTTGTACATGTAGATTGTGGGTCATATATGGTACTAAAGATACAGGGTGAGCTATAATGAATGCCACCAAGTAATTATTAGTAGGCTTACCAGATTTTCATGGTAATAAACTTGAACACACTCAGATTTTCAGATCTTAAAACTCAAATCCACACCCTGTTTTTTAGAGAAAATGATAAGCAATCAATCATGCAACTAACAAATGTCATCAAGTGAAAATGATATTTTTGTTTATATTATTGCTACTAAAGACAGTTATTTTTTATTTTTCTTTTGAATAGTCCAATATCACATGCTTTGAAGTAGGCAGTATTGACATGTTATCTGCAGTCTCCCTTATAACCAAATTTTGAGGAAGTAGCTAATTCTCTGATGAGTCTTTTTGAACTTTCTGATAATTTCTCAATTTAAATCCATACATGTTGATTCATGGTTGTCAGAGGATCAGAGTATCAAATTCAAGTATAAAAAGTTACAGATTACTGACAAAATTAAAAACTGGATCATTTAAGCATGTGAAATGGATCTATTGGGACAACATCTTAAAATCTGAGACTATTCTGACCAAGCTGAAAGATGTGTTCTAGTCACCCTATATATTAGGGATATTCTCTCATATATCACACATGCATTGATAATGGTAGTGAACACACTGTGGAACATTTAAGTTATAAATCATTATGATATCACTGAGTCAGTGATCATATAAATGTATCAAAATTGTAAAAGAGGTTTTTTGCATAAATTGTGGTTTTCCTTCTCTCCAATATAGTACTTCCCTCCTCTCACAAGATTACCTATTCTCATTCATTGCTACCCCTATATGCAAATTTTTTATTTACACATCCCACAAGCCTTCTGCTTCCCCCTATGTAAATCATCATGCATCACCTCTCCACCAATAGGAGCATGGTACACTCACATGACACATGTGACTCCCTCTATGCGCCTCTACCAAACTATCATTTCTTGTTTGGCAATGCTTGTACTCAGATGTTTTGTCATTCTTTACTGTTTCACTTTGTATTTAGTATACTCAAGAAGTGGTCTTCATTTATTATCAGATTTTCTGGAGTTTGAAATTTGCCTTCATTTATCCCAACTTATTCCTCTCATTTCCCATCTTTATTCTCACCCTGATCCAGATCGACTCCTATGTATGGTCTGTGCTCTTCGTTGTTCTTTTACCTGTATGGCTTCTTTCCGTGGTGCCCCCTCCTGCCTCTTTATTCCTAGACAGTTTTCCTTGAGTCCAGATCTTAATCCTTCCACCCTTACCAATTGTGTTTGGCCTTTGATCCCATTGGTTTACTCCCCTTTATCGTCTTCTTCCCAGAGTTTGTTCCAGGTATCTTCTCATCAGATTCGACATCCTTACCTTTTCCCTGGCATCTCGTCTTCATCAACCATTGGGGGAACACCTACATTTGGGCATGAGGACTACTCATAATAAGTCCATCTCCCCTTATCTACGTTGTATCACGGTTTCTTCCTCATCTGGTTTTCGTCTACCACCTGTAACTGTTTTTCTTTCTTTGGTGCTACTATAATTGGGTAAGTTTCTGTTCATTATTTATTTCCTTTCAGGAGCCTTTGCTTCATTATTCACTACTTGGATCCTGCTTCATGGTGAGGGGTGCTTGACCAGGTATCCTTCAATTGAAATTCGCACTGTACAGCCATGTTGAATTGCACTCTCTTCCATGGCTCCGCAATGCTCAAAAGTGAGATGGGGTGTTCCACAAGATCACTTGAGGGTGAATAATCTTGCAATGTTTTTGCTTCATAAACATGCCCATTCTGTACCATACCACCCATGGACTGCATGGGTAAAGCAGAAGGGGATAGCTGCCCATCGCTGCCATGACTTGATTGAATAAATCGGTATGGTTTTCTTTTCAAAATAGGGTTTTGTGGTCACCAATTGCACTGTCTTTAATGATGACGTTCCTCCGAACTCTTCACCTCGTATTTAGCCTCCTTTCTTCTAGTGGGGTGTGGGAGTCCTTACCACTTTCCAGTTGGGGTAGTTGACTGTGGAGGCACTCTCCTGAATGGGTTCCACAAAAAGATGGCTATAATCATTCAGTCGATAGTAGGGTGGTGGTGTGCTGCTGATGTAGGTGAAACGTGGCCTCCAGAGGAGTTGAGCCATCACCTTGCTGGATGGCATGGCTTCCTGCTACCATTTACACAAACACTGGAGTTGAGCCATTGAAAATGCAGTTCACCCCTTCAAATGGGAGCCTTCATCCTACCACTGCATGGATGTCAGTACCCCGTAGCCTGGTGTTGGACTTAGTGAACCAATCAACATAAGTCCTCACACGTGTTTCAGGTTGCCTATCTTCCTCTCTCGATTTCCTCTATCTGTGTTGTGGGTCACAGCGGTGGTACATGGGATTGTTCCCGTTCTGTCCTTGGCTATCCCTCGTTCTCTCTTCTTACAGGGATATTATTGCCATTTGCAAGGTCCCAGCCTGTTTCACAGTTGGGGGAGTTGATTGTATGCAATAGACATCCTTTCGATACCAGATGTCAAGTTCCTGGATCAATAGCTCAGAGCTAATCCTTGTGTCATACCCAGGGATCAGAGTGGTTCTCAATTCCCGAATCTTGGGTTTGAGATGAAGATGTTATGATTCTCATCCTACTGTTGCACAGATGTTGGTACCTCGCAAGAAGGTTTTGGATGTAGTTGACTTATCGAGTATGGTCCACCGTGCCATAGCCACTCTACATCCAGCGGTGCATCATTGTTTACCCACTTTTCTTATTGTGGAATTGAGTTACAATATCTTTCCCTGATTAGGATCACCTTCATACCACATTCTCTCCCATTCAGATGTGCTCCTCTCATTTTCCACCCTTATATCTTACATTTTCCACACATAGGGAAAAGTATACCTGGCTCAGAAGTGGTGCGGTTCCCATCTTTAGATCTGATTCTCTCATCTACGGATGTATCCTTCAGACGATTTGGTGGGATACATCTGTTTTTTCCCTTGCACCAGTCCCTCCTCCTAATCAATGTGGGATTCTAGCTGATATTGTGAGCGGAGGGAAGTACTGTATTGAAAGTTATAATTTTCCTATACTGAAAATGTATTTCCGATAGGTACTTCCTTCTGCTCACACTTACAACCCTTCCTCCTCACATACTCCGGTGCTTCTGTTTTTTGCCAGACTTTGAAGTGATAGTTTGGTAAAGGTGCATAGAGGGAGTCACATATGTCACATGAATGTACTATGCTCCTATTGGTGGAGAGCTGATGCATGATGTTTACTTGAGAGACACGTTGGAATCACTTGATTCCAATAGGGAGAGCAGAAGGCTTGTGGTATGTGTAAATAAAAAGCAGCAATGAATGAGAATAGCTAATCTTGTGAGTAGAGGGAAGTATCACAAATACTTCACAAACTATGTTGGAGTATATTTGAACCCACAAGCTCTTAAGTGCTTGAAAACCTGTGGGTCAAATAATCCTAATTATATGTATGACACATTATTCTGAAATTTCTTTTTACCTGATTATATCTACTTGTGTTTAAATTAACAGTAAAACTATGATTAAAAGTTGTGTAGTTTGTTTATTTTATTTGTTGTAGGGTAAGCTCTGTTTTGAATAGAGATGTTAAACAGTTTGGTAAGCAGTACCTGACAGATGGAAATGATGACACCTGCTGGAATTCTGACCAGGTAAATTCTTCTCTAAATATTTATGGCACTATTTCAATTTTTATAATTATACAAACATATAGGTTTGTGTTAATGTGGATATATGACTTTAAGTATATAACACGAATTAGGAATTGTATTATATCTGAGACGATAAGTCACCTCCTACATAGATTAGTTATCTTCCTCAGCATGTCTGGCAAATAGATTTGCATGCCACTAGCCTTGAGGCTAGTTATTTTAGTTAAAGTTAAGAACTATGGACCAGCACAACCACTGTGTGCAATGAGCTCTTACTGTATGATTTCATGAAAAAGTTACAGCCCATAAATTGATCATCATAGCTGACAATGCAAGTCCTTTTTTTTTCATTATGTCTTGAGATTGGGGTAAAGAATAATGGAAAAACCGTTATTTAGAGCAATGGAACTTGATACGTATTGTTCACTTTTGATACACAGATCTGGGTTTGATGGGAAGGGAAAAAATGATTTATATATGGCTATGTAGAGTAGAAAAGTTTATGTTGTTATGTGAGCCTGTTTTAGTTGGTTTGGACTTGGTCCTCTTGCATTAGTTATTGGAGCCTTTCTGTTTTATAACATTTTGGACAATGTTGCACACTCTTCATTAGTGGAATTGTATACAGAAGAATTATATTTTTTTCTGTATTATTACTCTGTGACCTGTGGTTTGAAACCAGTAATGTCCAGAATCTGTCTGAACTTGCTCAGAATCCTCATCTAAATATAACTAAAGTGCACTGGGAAGTTTCCAAATGCTACCTGATGAACAGAAGAGGCAGACCTTAAATCCTTCTACAACTGGAGAAGTGGGTTGTCACAACAGCTGTGCATGTATACCATTGTACCAATAGGTGGTGACAGGTGTTAGCTACAGAATCGAGGCTGGATTAATGCCCAGTATGAGTCCTCTTTCTATTAAAATAGAGCCCCAATTGCAAAACCTTACCACATTTCCAAGGTGTGTTTACCCAATATTATTAGTTATAAAGCATTCTTGAGAAACCACTGCAGTTGCTGGAGTAAAGTAATAAGTTCCATGTTCAGGTTGTTTTCATGGCAAAAACTTGTGTGTTCAATTTAGAGTTTGTCATACAAAAATGGATATTTTTATCATAAATATTAAAACAATGAACAGCTAGCTGTGTGATTGGTTTATCGTATCATTCGAATATTCCAACTTGAATCTTAAAGTTATTTGTAAATTATGGTATTTTTTAATTGTTAAATAAAACATAACTGCTTAGAAATTTGAATAAAATATTTCTATTTTATATATCTTAGCTCTGTAGCATTGTGAACATTTTATTTAATATTTTGACAGTGGCTTAGTTTAAACCTGAATATGTTGTGTTCAAACTACTAGAGTTAGTTAAAAAGAAGACAGTAATGGTAATATCAAGGAGTAATACAGGCTAAATTTGGCAGCAGTTACTGCTTTTAGATGCAAAATTTGTGGTGCCCAAATTCAAGAAGTCATGTCATGAAAAAGTTGGACCAGAAATAAAAACAATAAAAAGTAATATAAAATAATAATAATTAAAACAAATGAAAATTTTTCTTAGATCTTTTCTTATTATCACATCTTTTGGTATTATGTCTTATCCCAAAACCCATCTGAGTAGATGCACATAAATATAACATAATATTTAAAAGTATCTATTAGTTTTTTCACTTCAAGCTCCTCCTCCCCTACAACTCCCAGCTCAAATTCTCAGCAAGTTCCCGCTAAATGGAAACTTGCCTCACTTGCACTTGGTTACCACCACCGTAATTAATCTTATGTATTACCCTCTGAATATGGTAAATGTACTCATTCTAGTGTACACATTCTTTGACTTTAAAATGTACTGTTGGAATCAATATACATATAATTATATTTCATCTAGTTTTTACCTTGACTATTAATCAATCGCAATTTTCAAATAAAAAACAGGGTTCACCTCAGTGGATATCTGTGATTTTTTCAAAACCTGTGAAAATAGAAAAACTTCAACTTCAGTTCCAGGGTGGATTCGTTGGAAAGGACTGCTGGATTGAAGCAAGTGTAAACAAAGATGAAAAACTTCAGAAAATTCAGGACATCTTTCTAGAAGACACAAATATGTTACAAGTATCCTTTCTTGTTATTAATAAGATTGTTAATTTTTTAGTAGTTCTTGATTTACATATTAACTATAATTTTCTGATGGATATATATATGACATACAACTTTAGAAAATATTGTCAGATTCACCATACATAACTTTAACTCATCAGTAATTTTGTCATAATTATTTAATAAAAATTTTAAAAATTATTTCTTTGTATTTTTTATAATTGCCTTCAAAAAAACCATACTTATAATATAACTTATATGGAGTCATGATTTCTTGGGGTACTGGTAAGTTATTGTAAGTGTAATATTGATTCTAAAATTGTATGTCTAACATCCACCAAATAGGTATGGTCCAAAATTAATGATTTAGATTATTTCATGCTTTCATTTTATGTTAGGGGTATGCTTCATTGAACAAGTGTAGCATACTGTAACAAATGTAAGAAGACATGCAAATATAATTAAAAGAAATACAGGATAAGAATTAAAAAAAGACTGGAAACCAATCTATGTGGCTTCCTTTTCCATATAAATATCAGGTGCAATGAAATAAAAGGGAAGACATCAAATTTGTTTCTCAGACTTTCACTTTTGATCTATGTGTTCTATGTATATATAAGATAACACAGCAGTCATATTTGTTCTCTTTGTACATTGCTCTTTTTTATCCTGTAATTTGATTTCAGTTTACTTATATGAACAATATAAGTTTTGTTTTAAAAATATTTTGTTGTATGCCATTTATAAGACAAAAAGAATTACACAAGAATTAATGACTTTCAGACATCTAAGATTACAGTCATTAGTATAGCTATATTTTACAGAAGAGTCTGTTTTGAATCAAATGCGTTAATGTAATGATAAATATAAGCATCTAATAGCCAATGTTGGTGTCAAAAAGTGAGCCTTTAGTATTTCAATACTCATAATTTGGGTTAAGAAATTGTAAAAAAACATTGACAGTCATTCTACATCTCATTAATGAAGACTAATGTTCATTTCTAGTCATAACCTATGCAGGGTTGAGTATGGTATATTAAAACAGTTTTTGAATATATGCAAATCAGCAAGTCATGTGGCAACTTCGGCTGATGTAAAGTCATGGTGAAGTAGCATTATCAGAACTATAATTTGACATTGATTGGTATTTCATAGGTAGTGTTGTGCAACTGAAAATTGATTGCTTTTGGGTGAGTTATGTAACAGTCTTTACCAATGCAAAATATTAAAACACTCACATCATAAAGATGTGTAAAAATTGGGGATTTAGAATTTCAGAAAGGGGATATCCCTTGTACTTAATGACATTCGAAAACAAAGGAATGTGAGAATCCGTGACACAAAGATAAATGCTTCAAGGATCAGTATGTAACATAATTAGGAAGGATCTCCACATGAAATCGATTCCAATGGGGTATGGGTTCACTAGGATAAGGCATGAAGTCATATCTCCATTTCACAGTCATGTACCTCAAGCAGCTATTCCATACAAAGACATACCAGTCAAGTCACCAGTGTAGAGCCTGTAGATTTCTTTGTGATCAAACTGTTGAAATGGGCACTGGCAAGCTGCCATATTTATATAATAGATGGATTATGGGGAACTTTCAAAGAGGAATGGTGTGATTTTGACATGACAACCTTACAGTGAAGCCTTTTGCAATGAAAACTACAGTACAGAGCTTATGTCAAGATGCATGGTAGTTATATAGAGGACAACCTGTATGTGGCACACAGACTGTAATGACCTGGTGAGACTCGAAAATTGCTTTAATGTAACATACTCAATCTTCTGTATATACAATTACTTACAGAACCCAATATGATAATGATAGGATAATTATAATAGTAAAAATAATTATATAGAGGAAGAAATTTGATTTCATCACTAGATTTTGATATCCAAATCATTAATTTCCAGAACACTCATGATTAATTACTGTTTGAATTTAGTTATAAAAAAATAATAATTAATTACAATTACAGTTTTTTTCGCTAGGAATTAAATTATTGAAAATCACGATTTTTTAATAGCTTGCAACATTATCTCAAAATTCTCTTCTAAACACTCTTATAAGGTTGAAAACCAAAAAATACATAACTGTCGTCAAGTTCTTGTCTAATAATCTAATTTAGTATGTTGTGATTGCCGTTATAGAAATTTTTCTTAACGTGTTTTCAGACATTCAACTTACAGCAGGTTGTAGAAACAAGTAATATGAAAATTGTATTTAATACAAGCACAGATTTGTTTGGTAGAGTTATTGTTTATAAACTTGAAATATTGGGTGAAAGTTAACATTTTGTTAATTGAATATTTTAATAAAGATTTACGTTTACCATACAGTGTAATGTGAATACATAGAATACCTTTTATTCAATACAAATTCTATGCTCAGTTAGTCACTAGCTATTGCTTTTTTCCGTTTTTGATCACAAGAGTCAGTGAATTCTCACTCACCTCATATAATTATACATAGTAAAAAGTTTTTTGCATACTTGTTTGAAAGTTGACTAAAATCTTAGATACTAATTGCCAATTCAAAGAATATACATTTTATGGTCTAAATTTTCAGTTTCTCGCATGTAGCACAGTATTTGAGATTGCCTGGAAAACCATTTTGCTTTTCATACTCCTTTGAAGATTTAGAATTATAAAATTAAATCATATAATTTTAGTTATTTTTCAATTCTAAAATGAATTTCTACTGTGTATTAAAAAGGTAATTGAGAGAGGTCTTGTTACTTTTAAACTCTTGGTTTTATCTTATATTTTTAAACTTGTGACAAAAAGGTAAGTTATTTTTGTTATTCAGCTGTTACTTTTTTAATAGTATAAGTGCATTTTATACAAACAGTATTATCTGTAAAGTAGCAGGATCTAACAATTTTCATGAATTTATATTCAGTTTTCAAATATTTTACATTGAGCATTATGAATGATAAACTGATTTATTTTGATAAACCTAATTCTTTTAATTGCTTACTGCTTGTTTTTGTGTTTTCAGATAATAACAATAAACACCTTTGGTGGAATCCTAGAAATAAATTATCATTTTGAAATGGAATAAATGATAGATTTTAAAGAAATTAAAAATTTTAAAATACCTTCACGATTTCAGTGTCCAATTTTGTAAAAGTATAATGTCCAAAAACATCACAGATAGTAATAAAAATATTTGTTATTTATGAAACCAAGTATTTCTATTTTTTATGCATGTGTTTACTGGCAGAAAAGTTTTATAAGTGTCTACAGAGTGAGACCATTTCATTAACTTGCTTTGAAGTTAATGATTAAAAACAAATAAGTAAATTACTTGACCAGTTCGATAATTTTTAACAACAGTTTGTTTTCTTAATCATTTAGCGAGAAAACCATAATTAAGTTTAGCACAAAGGTAACACATATTCTCATATCTATATAGGTATATATACATACATATAGTCACATAAAAAACTTTCTTGCATATAATAGTTAAAGCCTTCCATACAATGATTATTATACTTGAAATTCTTTTCATATCTCTTAATCTGTTGAAACAAATTATAAAAGAACAACTGGATGGGATTATAAAAGAAATAGACATACATTTGTCGACTTCTTTCCAGAGTTAATTCAGCATCATCATGACACATGCCACTGCATTGTTGAACAATTATTTGTTGTTAAGCTCAAAGCTACACAATAGGCTATCTATGCTGAGCATACTGTATCGAAACCCGATTTTTTTAGTGTTTTGAGCCCTCAGATATACCAAGGGACACAGTTAGTTGTGTCCACTTGCTAAAAAATTTTCA